ACCAAAGTGAATATCATACATACCTATCAGATACCTATCAGCCAAGTTGGCCTTCCTGTAACATTCCTGTATCATACAAGAACAAAAGCTTTTTGTTTCAGTACCAAGTAGTGTAATGCAGAATGACTCATAGGCTGCAATCTAATTTTTCATCATCAAACATGATCAGTTTGACCTGAAACTGCTCCTAACACTGTGAATCACTACCCATAAACTGCTCCAAACTCAATTTTCTTGTTTTGAATCATTTTCCCCCAGGATCATGGACAGGAGGGATGGTGAAATCAATGTTGTATTTCCAAGGCCAGATATGGAAACAGTTGTCTGCCCAAGCTTCTGTGTCTATATCTGTATGTGAATTGACTATCAGTCAACTAGGGCAACAGCCCTTTGGCATAGCACATGAAGCATGAATAATGAGCTGATGATTTGGCATGCAAAATGACTTGTCCCAAATTTAAGCCCTTAATGCTTCTGCTTTGCTTTTTCGATGATGACAAGGTTGATAATCATGACTTCATGTCCTTCAGGTAGAACCCTGACCCAGATGTAACTTGTATAAACAAGGCTAAGCATGCCACCAATGTACCCATCTGCAACCTGTTATTCACTACAGCAAAATTCCCCCTAGTCATAAGGGCAAGATACAGATGATACCTGCATAACCTCAGACACTTCTCTAGTGTCAAAAAACAGCTAAAAATGCTTTGGTGCTTCTTTCGGCCACTTTTCTTACAATAAAAGTTACATTTTCTCTTATTTCATGTTCTCAAGCTAGAACCACTTTGTAAGTCTCTTTTCCACTGATGTTATACCCCAAGGCTATGTACTTCCAGTCTTCCAACAGCTAGGCTTTCATCTCTGGGGAAAAAAGCATGCGGCGGACAAAATAGTAGGTGTGTAACCATATTGTTAACATTTGTATCTTAAGAGGCACAACTTGGTAACAAACAGGTGTGCTTTGGGGCTTATCAGAGATTGTCAACATCAGCAAAAGCAAAAGAATCCTTTTACTAATTGCCCGCATGACCTTGGAGTTCTCCACAGTAAAAGTGATCATGCTGAGAATAGAGACAAACAAATCCCTGGGAGGCCAGTCAAGTTGACCTTTGAATAACAACAACATCCTTAGGCATTTCCTACTTGAACTGCAGCCTTATCTAACAGTAAATGAACCACTCAACCAAGAAACATGGAGTTACATATTGTAATATGAATTATATTTTAAATTATGTACGGGTGAACACAATGAATATTCCTATTATTCATACTATTATAATAAAAGACAACATAAAGATTTTAATTTTTTCTAACAGAGATGAAAAGATGACAAAAAGAATTATCATATTGATATTGCTATTGCTTCTTATGTTACCTTGCCCAAAGGCCACTTGACTCGTCAGCTGTGTGATTGGCCATAGAAAGCAGGACTCAGCACAGCTTGGCAGCCTCTAGATCTAGAACAATGACTGTACCATCAGGTGACTGGCACTGAGAGTGTTTCTAAGTTACCAAAGCAGGTCATTGACCTGTTATTCAAGCTAGCTTAGTCTTTCAGGTCGTTCACCCTGGGTTCAACCCTGCATTTCCTGCTAAGTCATGCTCCTTCTAGGAATCCTGGGGGAAGACGGAAGCTAGTTCGGATTACTACAGAAAAATTTTGTAGCTGATAAGTATAGCCTACACCTGTGTAAATAGACAGTAAACAGGAAATGGCAAGTTTCACGACCCATCAATTGACAGAGATTTGGAGATGTGTAAAATAATTGTTTACATATCATGTTATTATGCCTTTATTTCATTTCTTGCTTACATTTAAAAAAAAATAAAACTATTAATGTTACTCAGATTTGAATAGGGAATTATCCATAAAATTCAATACTTAAAGCAATCAGCTTGACGTACTACTCAACAGACCTTGGATGTAAAACAGCTACAATGTTGCACAAGGACTTGTGTCTGATAACTAACATTATCATTGTGTTTTGAGTATTTGTCAAGTGAAGGGAAAATACAAATAAGTGTACACTTGATAAACACGGCCTGACTTCTCAGAAAATATGCAAGGACTCAAGGTCTAAGGAGGAATAATTTTCCTTAGATTTTTTTTCAATTTTACAGGGTATATGATACATATATTTAACAGGATACAACTGCTATCATCTGAAAATATAACTGGCCCAAAGCCATGTAACAATGCTGTCATTCGAATTTAGATTTGGCGCTAGCAAAGTGTTCCCAAATAAAGTTCATAACAGTCATCTCAACATAGTCCATATATAATTACAAGTTTATATTTCAGTATTGGCCGAAACTCTTTGAGAATGAAGTGAATGAACCAATACTGCAGCATGACAAAGCCAAAAATGTAAAGGCTGTGCGAATTTTTTTTCTCTTAAATATCTCAAAATCATCCCTTTCAACTTTCATCTTTTATTAATGGATAACTGGTTTTCTTCTTTTTTATTATTCATCTTTTACTCTTAGGACTTAAGAACCCATGACACAAATGTTTTAGATTGAGGTCACTGTGACCTGACCACAGCTTTTAAGGCCCATATTACTCTCAACTGAAGAAAAAGCTCTGTTTGTTAAAATTCAAAACAATGTACAAGAACTCAAGTACTTGGGTTGACCTTGGTAGAGGGTACTTACAAATGTTTACCTTCCAGACATAAATGACATCCAGCTGGACAAGGACAACTAACTGTAATTTGCCCTTCAAAACATGTGCCCTCCAAGTTATGGAGGTCAGTGCCAATGGCACCGATGTCACAAGGCTCTTAAGATAAAACTTGGCAGGAGGTTTACTTTACAGTTCAGCTGACAAGTGAACTATACATACTGAAGCCAAATCTACACTTTTGAAATAGCACATAGGTCGACCCATGCCTAGCTTACTATTAACTTCACCGCTCATGCAAGTTCTCACCGGTCAATTTTACTGCCAGTCAATATGACATTATAGTGCCATACCCTTTACATCATATTACCACCTGACCTTTATGTCAACTGAAAGTTTCACAGTAGATCAAAACATTGTTAATCAGGGGACTTCGAAAGCATTGCTCATCAAAAGCATGACTGATGAAGCAGATCTTCCAAGTACCAACTTTATCTAGTCAAGTGCCCTTGGAATGTGTAACAAGCTGTCACTCTTAGTCTGGCCATGATAGAATTCCAGTTACAAGGTCCAAAACAAGTTCAAGGCAACTGTGGTGTTAAGAGAGCTACATGTAAACCTGAGGTTAAGGAACTTCTGGACTTCCAATGCTATTAAAATCCCATGATACTTAGACAAAATTAGACCATACAACAGTCCACGAGCAAAATTGGAATTAAAAGATTTGCACCAGGAAATAAAATGAAAACAAGAAGACACAGGACTATCCAATTAGGAAAAAAGTGAGAGAAAAAAAACAGATTGATAACCAATAAATGTTGAGAGACTAAAAAATTAATCTTACGTTCAATATGACATCTTTACACAACACTGTGATGTATATATTATGTATGCTACATAATACCCAGTGTACAGGCTGGCTATTTGCGTGTTGCTCCACAATGCATTAAATGTTCAACATAATGCATACTTTCTCTCAAATGTTCTTGTATGGCATAGTTTCACTGTAAAAGCTCAACAATTATTGCAATGTTTACATCCGCACAATTCTTGTAACCTCCACTCTCAATTTGAACTTCCTCTGCAGTGCAGCAAGGCTGCAGTGGACCAACACCCAAACTGGATATTCACAAAACTGGTAGCACTCCCTCCCAATTTCCCATCAAATAGTACTACTACCAACGGGAAGAACGCCAAACGATGGAACAGCTAATTATTTACATAATATCATTCCAATGACGTCAGTTTCTCATGGTAATATGGTAATTTTATGCTAATGAACCAAAACAAACCAAAAATAGATCGATGATTCGTTGTCACGGGACTTTCCCAGAGAAAAGCGCCGCCCTGAACCGGGATGGAAACCAAAACAAAACACCCTATGCAAGATTAACAGCTATCTGGAACTTTCCATCAGACCAACTCGATGAACTGTTACTTTAGCAAACAAAACACGCAGTTTACAAGTCAACAATGTGACATTCTTTTGCACTTCATGGAACGACAAAGCCACAATAATCCCTTGCCGTACGGCCAACTTGTCGGCCAACCTGCAAGCTCCACCCGTGGCAACTACTGTACAAACAATCCAGCGATAAAACATATTGTAGAAAGTCTGCCATTCACTTATTGTGAAGTCAGCTTCGGTAACGTATTTTCTTAAGACATACCATGCTGACAACATGAAATGTAGAGCGAAAGCCCGACCAAAACAAGGCTTTACGGCCCAACCATCGGAGTCTTGCATCATGCTGCAGCCCTCAGCTCCGTGCTATTCCGTAGTACAAAACCTACCTTAATCGAGGCCCCAAAACTGGTATTTCTTCATGGGTTGTGCTGTATATTAAAGCGTTGACCAAATTTTAAAATGATGCCGAGTCATATAATTAAACATTGCATCATGCCGGGACTGTGGTTTTCCACGGCCTGGCACCTCCAAACGACCTTTGTACCAGTTGTGGCCATATTGTTTTGATCGGGCATGAGGATTGCGCAATCACGGGCAACAGCCTTGTTGTTGTCAGTATGCAAGTCTGTACATTTCCATGGTTTACAACATGCACGAACATGCACCAAATAACCCAAAGGCTGCATTGTGCAATGCAGCAATGTCTAAAGCATCACAAATGCTTAGACTGTTTAGGCCTGAAATGGCGACAAGTTATGTAACGCTGGCTACTTGAATTTGGAGGGAGCGCCGAGGACTGAAATTCACCTCAAGACCTCGCACAACTTTAACACCAAATCATAATAATACCACAGAAATAATTCTAACCCACCAACCTTCCAATGCACTGTCCTGGCTGCAAAACGACCTCGGTAAACACTTCAACTCGTACGACGATAATTCCACAATTATTTCAATTGACTTCCTCAATTTCCTGCTGGGTCATATTAGTGGGGCCCAAGAAGGGTCAGAGGTGAATCTCAAAAGCGGGTGTCAACAGCCCAATATTCATGCATTATTCCTTGTTTTGTGTGTCTCCCGATGAAATTCACAGGCAAAGGGATGTATAGCTGGCATACTGTAATTTATGTAACTATGTAAAACGGTTGAATAGATGTTAACGTTACGTTATATATTATAATTGAAACAAACAAATCGATTAATTGCGAATTCTTCAAATTTATAACAAATATCAACATGACAACATTTGCTTCACGAAAATTACATTATTCCAAAATGAATTTCCAAACGGTTTGTTTTGTCCTGCATTTCTTCGTTGTACATGGGTGTCACAGCTTTAGTGTTGTGACATGCTCAGAGGTAAGGTGGAAAGCACGAACACCAACCTGCACGGAAGATCAGTAAACCAGGAGCTCCCGCTAACTCAGTCGACTCAAGCTTGCACGATAAATGTCCAAAGCTACGTTGTAAAACCAGAGGAAACGTTGACTTGGCCGTATTTCTGGAAACTCCAGCTCAAATCCGTAAAAATCTGGAACCAAGCAAGAGCCAAGCAGGTTTTGTTTTCGTTCTGTCAAGTCACGGGGCACGGAGGTATCTTACCCATGTGATGCTACGTCACAACACATTGACCAATCAGAGATCAGAATTGCGGCCGACGCCCCTCCCTCGATTGAAATGTGCTGTAAAGAGAATCTAGACTTTCATCCAGAAATTGATTTATAAAGAAATACGATGACACTTCAATGACGTGGTAAGATTGGAGTCAAATTAGTGCCAGTGATACAACGTACCAACAGTGAAGTGAGTGTATTCATCAAATGTTTTCAACAATGTACCAAAATCAACATATCTTGCTATTTGAGATATGGTCTGTTCGAAAATTCTTCTCAAGGTCGTTCCCAGTAATGCATGATCCCATAACCTGCCCAAACAGGTTGCGGCTGGCGCCTTGCCAGGTGGAAAATTACCTGCAGCCTCCTGGACCGCTGATACCGTACATCTCTATTCTGAAGCAGATGCACGGTTTCCGCTCGTATATACTGTAGTACATGTTATCTGTTGGATTTTGGAAAAGCATGCCCTAAAGCCCTATATTTGATGAATTTCCTTGGGTGTAATAATTGAAGGGACCAAAATTTATTTTGTGTATCGCGCAGAATTCCCAAATACACATTCTATTGCACAGAAACCCCAAATACACATTAGATCAATATTCCTCAAATCCTAAGCGAAAATGGACTATTCAACAAGTTTTATACTATATTGGTCAGTTAGACCTTACTAAATTATGTGTGTACACAGTAATTTTCGAGAATGGCCTGTTCAATAATAGCCTAGATACATACCATTCTCCGAAGTTCCCACTAACTCTACCTCTTAGCTTGCTAACGGAGGATGGTACCCGGGCTTCCCCCAGCATGTCATTGAAGCACCTTCATGGTGGAGATATTTGGCATTAGGGAGTCTAAAGTATTGAAGCCAGGAAAAGGTTACAGCTAAAAACGCCATACATTCAAATGTGACATTTAGGGGAAAGTAGAACAGCAGGGCCACTTGATGTCATGACATTCTAGAAACAAGGATGCCTCTGTGGCACGCAGGAGTATTACCAACTAACGTTACATATATATTGCCACAACGCAAAGAATAAATGTCGGAAACATTTCTGACAAATATGTGGACAAGCAAATGAGGCTATGCAAAGCTAAACTTTCATTGTGGCCGATTTTGGTGCTTTTAATTTAGTATCAAACTTATGATGCTGGATATCACCTTGTGGAAATGCTGCTTTTGTTATTTTGTCTCTTGTGCTACTATAGTATTTTCCCTTGCCTCCCACTGATACTAGACTAGTCACTATTGAATAGTACGACATGTTATCGGTGCCAGGGGCAACGTGACCAGTTTTATAAGACTGTACCTATAGATGCCAGGCAGTAACAGGTGTCAGGTCGCGTCAAAGTCTGACTGGTTGGTTGGTTGGTAATCTAGATCTAGACTCGATTTCCTGCTCAAATAAACTGTTCAAACATGTTGTCGAAAACACTTAATGTAATGTATGTATATACTTTTCTAAAGGTGATATACTCGCGCAGTGCAGATGAACGTGACTAATATATGGGCGGATGTCAACCAATGCAGTCATTACAATATGTCGAAGCATGCGCAAGAACATGGCGATAGGCCGTTTAAACATTTTATTTTATGTACAAGCAAGTCAATTTTTTCTGCAGCGTACTGGGAATGAAAACACAAACACACATACATACACACACACATACACACGCACACAGATACAAATACATATACATATACACACATAGCACAAACACACACACAACAAACACGATCTCATACGATCCGTCAATCATTTCTTGAGTTACTCGCGTCGAAGATCGAAGATTTTAAAACAAACGCCACTGCATTTCCAGAACAAGCTACTAGGGGGCCCCAAAAGCTAATCATGTCTCATCAAAATCTATCCACCTACTGACCTACCAAGTTTCATGGCAATTCATCCATAACTTTTCGAGTTATCGCGCTTAAACGCATATTGGCACATACAGACGCTACCAAAAACATAACCTTCTGGCGAACGTAACAAACACACCTAAGTTAAGAGACAGGTTGGGGGGTAATCATATCATTAAGTCCACACCCCACACCCAACTAGTGTCTGCACCAGCCCCAACCGGTTGGGGTTACGAGCGGACGTCAATCTGACCTTGTAATGGGACGTGCGCTGTGTAATCTTAGATATCGGGGTCAAGGTACGGTAGGTAAATGACACCGGTTGGACCGAACCATTGAAAAAATAATTGTATATTTTGGTGTTGCAATGGTATCATTCGATACACATCATGTATTTTGTCCCATGCATTTAGAACACGTAGGCCAGTATTGAGAAGACGGATATCATTGGGTGTATGAGTATAAACCTGTCTTTCCCTGACCTTGAAGAATGGACTATCCCACTACATGAAACAAATTTGGAGCGCCGCAAGTCCCCAAAATTCTTAAGAGCCGTCCCTCGACCTACACTTTATCTAATAGGCCTTGGTTCCGAGGGGCGGCCCTGCGTAGGAGAATGCATGGTCCGATCCCGAAAGAATTTTCCTCTATTGTATTGATACTGTCTTAAAAACAAGTGACCGATTGAAGCACCACGCGTATGGTGAGAGCTCCAGGCATATCATGCAAGTCAATTTTGAACATAGAGATTTTATCGGCTGCTATATTTGATCTTAGTTCTCGTTATTGATTTCACCGGCGGAACCGTTGTTTAATTTTACTAAAAAGCTACCTGATACCGGTTGCTTGCCCAAACATGCTGTTGCAGTGATCTGCTCAGCAGTAAATTCGTCGTTGGCCGTCGCACGATTTGAATGCCTTTGAATTTTCAAGCAGGCAGTGAGTGACAGAACCAACGGCCAACAAAGATCTCGGGGCCGAGCCACTCTCCCTGCTCGGGAGGGTGTTTCCGTATAGCAAGACAGCTGAATTTTGATTACATATGATTAAATAACATTAACCACAAGAATACCCTCAGTTTTGTGATATCATACAACGATCGTACGGAGAATGTCACTAGGCCCTTACATGGGAAAGTTCTAGTTTGATACATCAGGTGCTTTAATAATTGCCTAGCGACGGCCTTAGATGAACGTTTCTTGTCGGCGGAAAGCGGTCAGGTCCCGCCGCTTCTGCATACTCCATGCAGTGGTCCAAAACTGAGCCGTCACCCTGGCGGTTCCCCCGGTCCACTGTCACGGGATGAGAGGCACTGCAGGTCCGGCCAGTCAGCTGAGTTTGGGTGGGCACCATGCTTCTCAGTGGCTGCTAGCGCTGCACATTAGAGAAAACTATGGGAATGGTTTAGGACAATGATTATTACCTGTACATTTTATGATCTGTGTGTCTAAATGTTTTAAGTTTAAATTCGTGAATCCAGGAATTTTTCGACAACTTTTAACACGGTGTCAAAGTACTCTCCCAGTGCAACAATGATCTTTAAAACTTTCAGATTCATTCAATCACTGATCTTCAAGTTACTACATGCACAATGTCTGGAATCAAGGCTATATTTTGAGAATGGCTTGAGCGGTGAGCTGACCTTGTTCGCGGGTGAAGGGGCGGGCACCAAGTGAGCCTGAGGACGATATGACGTGGATCAACAGGCTCAGAAATGACGCCAGCAGTAACGTCAGCACCACCGACATGACGTAGCTGTACAGGGCCAGTGTAGTCTGTGACTAGTGTTGGGCTCCCCCAAGGGGCGGGCGTGAACAATAGTTAGAGTTTAGCTTGAAACACTATACGAGGTTGATAGAATCGACTAATTTCTTCGATCGAAATAGGTCAAATTTCACAACAATATACATCCCAGCCTCTTGAGGTATGCTGTTCAAAAGATTCAGACATTCTAACATACAGACGATACCGAGAAACAATCTTCATTGCAAGGCAGGGCAATAAATCAAGAAAATTAGTAGGCTTTCCCCAAGGTAAGTCCTGATAGCGAAGAACAAATACTGGTCAATGTTCTGCCGTTCACAAGCCTCCGCACTAACTATATAACGTTATATATATACTATTTCAAAGTGAAAAATAGTTACCAGTCGTAACCAATTTGAATATATGAAAGATCTGCTCGAATGTGACAAGTTACCCACTCTTCAAAAACATACCATTTGTAATGTAACATGTATGACATGTATCTTGCCATTTCCCCATGACTCAAGTGAACTCGCTAACACAATGGCGCAAACATCATTACCATTACCTCAAAAGCGCTGTATTGACAACGCATACAGGTGGGGCTGACTTCTAAATTATGCATGAACATCTCTTTATCGCCTCATCCAATTATTACTACTAGTGCATAGTTACTGATACATGTATTTGACCAAGGTACGTGTTCGAGTACTTGTAACGGTAGGGCCAACATCTATATTTTTCACCTGAGATGTTATGTATAGAAATAGCATCTGAGCAGATGTAAGACTTTGGTGTGAAAATAATTGTCCATATTTAATGTGTGTTACATAAAAGTTGCATTTCAGCCTTTCCATTCACGATAGACCGCACAGATGGCAAATTGGCTCTTACTACATAATCACTCCCCCTATCAGATGTTAGCTGTAGTGCACCCATTTAGCAGTAAGTTTCAATGAATCAGAAAAAGCTGCATTCCGAAGAATGTAGACTTTTTATTTTGTAAGATATGGATGTGGAAGAATAGCGGATATTTGTCCTTCAATGCAGCGGGTGCCACACAAGTACAATGTATAGGTGTATGGACCAGTCCACCAAATGCTGGTCATTTCAAATTTTGAAACTGTCAGTTTATAACATCCCCTACCATGTAAATATAGCTCCACCACATCTACATCAATGCATATATGATAGGTGCTGCACTACAGGTCTCTCAAACACAGTTTTTTTTTCAAAGGGGCGGATATATGTAAATGTTAACGGGGGTTAAATTAATCAGAGTGTTGACAGAGGTGAAGATACCACAACACAGAGGGAATCACACTCATACAGATGATGATATGTTCAACTTTACTGTACTTTCAGTAAGAAGTTTAGATGTGAGATTTCTGACATGACTTCCTAGAAGCCTATAGCTAAATGACAGATTTCAGATTCAAAATGACCAGCATTAGTCTAGCATGGATGCCAGACCCATAGCACACTGGACAAAAAGTATCTCAGTGAGCAGGATAACTTGGTAGTGTGCTATGGGTCTGGCACCCAGGCTAGCATTAGTCCAGTCTAGTCTATACAAACATAACATGAAGAAGACACTGGTCCCTCGATTTCAACTACAACAATGTGGAAAAAGATACATGTATTTCAACCTTCACCACAGAGCAGTGGGTGGAAGGCTGGAATACTATCTTTGTTTGCTTGCTTTCTTCTTTAGACATGTAACACTGTTGAGTTTCACACTTTTCCACACATTGTACATGCCTGTATACATGTACATATCACAGATAATATCTGTGCCATCCTAGTTAGTTTGAATCTGATCTGATTTTAGCACAGATTAGACTGAACATACACACATCAGTAGGATACATCTAAATTACAAAAAGTTTCCAGAATGTGAGAACACCACATCCTAACGACTACCATAATCTGACTGAATGACTTTTGAAATTCTTATTTCTATAAGCCAGTAATAATAGACTTGATTTGAATCAGCTGAAAGGCTCTTTGTACAGTGACAGTAACTCCATGAACATTTCACAATAACTTGGATCTTCATGGGCACAAAGTGCTGATGAACCCAAAATAACTTTATAAATAATTTATTGACAGCTTCCTATGCCATCATAGATGAATAAATAATATATTACCCAAAGACAAAGTGTCACATTTGGCATTATCATTTTGAGTTCTTCTGAGTCCAAAACAAAACAGGGAGATTGGA